CTGTCCCAAATTCCTCAACTATTAAAAATGTTTGTCTCTAATCACTTTGAAGGTGCTCAGGGAGACCACAAAAGGGGTGCTGGTGGTTGCATGTGGTCTATAAGCCATAAGTTATGCACCTCTGGTCTAAGTCTTAGAATCTATAAGATGACAAAAACATCCCAAAGAGAAGAATGGTTTGAAACGTTTATTGTGCTGCAAGAAGAGCTTTCTCCCATAATATTGATTTAATCCCTATTTAAAGAATTTAAGTTGATGTACTTTTGAGAAACAACTCTACTTCTAAAGACTCTTGAAGCATATGGCACTAACTGAAGGACAAGGAGCGTACATGGAACGTTGTGTGACAATATTCTTCTGCAGTGATGACCAGAAGGGAACGAGACCTAAACAAGTGGCTTTCAGTCACATCTGAAATGCAGGCACTTAACACAGATCCCAGGAGTCATCACAATCTGAAGTTGATTGTACTCTAAATATAATTTCCAGCACAATGAATAAAAAATTCAAGAAAGTGAGATATGGCATCCAGTCACTTCTATCATGAATGCTTTCCAGAATGAAGACTGAGACAAGTCTTGCATGTCAAAGTGCTTTCATGTGCACACAAGGGCAGAAGGATGGTTTTCTTTTGTTTTAAATTTTCTCTTTCTTCCACAGGCACTGAATGTGCAAAGGGTTACCAGCAGAACGGCAAAGCTGAAAAGTTCCACGCAGTCTTGAGGCTCCCTTTGACTAATAAGCAGGGTTTCTGAGTTTAATGGCAGAAATCCTCATGGTCTATAGGATTCTCCTACAGTATCCAGAACAAGCATTTTTCTGTGTGTCTCCAAATGAGAAGAACAGTCTTAATTTCAATTAGATCAGTCTTTCCAAGGGAGGAGGTTGCACCATGTTCCACATTTCAACTCGGGATCCCTCCTTCTCTTGGCGACTGGGGCTGTAAGTCCCTTGGGTGGCCCGTTTATTGGCAGTTATGATGGAAACTATGACTGCCAGAAGAAAGATCAGTAACAAGGCCAGTGTCACTGAGCCAATGGAGGTAAATATATTGGAGGCCAGATCAGCTGTCAGCTGGAAGAATGGAAGAAAGAACAATATGATGGCACTGAAGCAGAAAAATAATATATATAATTTCACCGTGTAAATAATTGGCTAACACACACAAGAGTATATTTCAGAATACTTCTTCCCCCAAAATATAGCTGGTTATCTGTGTACGTACAGCAACATCTCAATATATCTGCTGTAGAATGGATTTAGTAATAACAACAAAACAACAACTGTGTAGAAGATCCAGATTAAAATTTGTCCAATTTCCTAACAGATTTATTCCTCTGTTAAAGTTATTTCTGTTTTTCTACCAGATTCTGAGGGTGCTTTGGATGATGTTTTTGAGCTTATTTTATTGTGCAAAATGACAATAGCTGCTGCTTGTTTTTTCTGCTATCTTTTCATCATGTTGCAGCCATAAGGCTGGCTGCCTGTCTTCTTGCACTTCAAAGCTACAGTGGTAGAAAGTATCAGTGGTATTCTCACCACAGGATGAATGGAAGCTTAGAGGGCCAGGTAACTTTCAAACCACTAGAGAGGTCCAATAAACAGCAGGACATCCACATACATTCCTTAGTCATCTTGTGTCAAAAGTACAAGAACTCCACACATACCATCACAACTAAATCAATGAAATTAACCAACTATGGGGTGAAAAAAAGACAATTTCTCCCATCAAACTGAAGACTAGTTTAAAAACACAGAAGAAAAACACAGAACACTCGATACTAGTGAAGACTGTTGGGAGAACATATACTTGGAATAATTTCTGCATCATTTTCCAAATTGCAAGACTGCATATTAAAAAGAAAAGATTTTTTTTTAATAATATAAACCTTCAGACCATTCATATTATTCATTTGTGGAACTGCTTAGCCACGAGAAAACATTTATGAGGTTTGAATCCTGAAAGTAGTTTTATGTCTTGCTATGCTGTCTCATTGCTATGGGAGATGGGTGGGGTGGAGAGGGGTTCTTGGGAGAGATAAGTGAGGAATGCTGGGAGATAATGGTAAGAGTATATACTCCCAGCAGATTATCCAAAGTGTGAAGGTACCCAGATGCCCAGCTAAATCAAGCAGGCACTTATATTGGGCAGCAGCAATATAGGAAGATGCTGGAGGCAGATGATCACTTTAGTGACAACTTACTGTGTTGGAAAAATGGTAAACTACTCTGTATTTCACACACACACACCCAACACACACAGAAAATCACCCACATGTATAGACAAGATAAAGTGATTGACAACATAGTGTCAGGTAATGGGCCTCCAGTTGGATGGCACTCAACATGCTACTAAGGAAAAGCTGAGATTCTTCAGAGTACTACTAATGCTTATGACACAGCTAGATTAAAACCTTTGGGACAGTTAGTTGGTGATGTTACCATGTAGGGGAAAAAAATTCCAAAGCTGCAAATACAGAATTACAATGGAATCATGGAATGTAAGAAGCATGAACATAGGAAAGCTCAGCAGAATGAAAGATGAAATGAATTGGCTATATATCGACCTTAGGCATCAGCAAATTGAAATGGACTGGTATTGGACACTTTCAGTAAAAGGATCATACTGTTTATTACTCAGGGCATGAAAAACAAGCAACAGCGTTGCTTTCATGGCCAGGAAAGATATAGCTAAGACAGTACTGGAGTATTACATAGTCAATGAGCAAATAATAGCAATTAGGCTTTGTGGGCAATCTTTAATATGATGCTATCCAAGTTTATGTTTTAACACTGATGAAGAAGAAGGATTAGCTGATGAGTTTTATGGTCATGTTCAATCTAAAATTGACCAAACATGCAAGCAAGATGTGCTGCTTGTGATTGAAGACTAGAATGCTAAACTTTTCCAAGTTGGAAATTGATTGATTATGTACCATAAAGCCATTTTCAACTTCTAGTGACCACATAGGGAGGAAAATATAGTTGGACTATATAACCTAAGAAACTGAAATGAAGCAGGAGAATGACTTATCAGTCTCTGCCAATCCATTGATTTCTTTATTGCCAATACAGTCTTCAAACAACCCTAACCTGTAGACATGGACATCCCAAGATGGAGTATATAGAAATACTTTTGATTATATTATTGATACAAGAGGTGGAAGAAGTCAGTTATAACAGCAAAGGCATGGCCAGGGACTGACTGTGGAATAGCTCATGTGCAAAGAGCTTGGCAAGGAACTTAAAAGAATTTCAGAGAGCTGTTAGAACAGACAAAAAGTAGTATTGTAATTGCATCTGTAAAGACATCAAAGATGGAAGTCTAAAGGAGGTTCCAACCTCAAATTGAAATGCTAAAGGATACAAATGAACCAATAGTAACTGATTCCAAGAAGATCAAACAAAAATGGAAGGAATATATTGAAATTCTGTAGAGATGTCAACATCCAATATACGTTAGAAGATAGTCCCTATTTATAAGAACCTCTGTTATTGATTTTTACCAAGTTGGAAAGCTACATAAATTGATGGAATTCTACAGAAATATGACAAGCAACATAAGAAATATCTGTAAAGGTTCTAACCAAACTATGCCAGCAAATCTGGAGAATGACTCAGTGGCTAACAGATTGGAAAAGGTCAGTCTACATACAGTACGCATACCAAAAAAAAAAAAAAAAAGGAGACTTAACAGAATTTTCAAACTATTGTACAATATTCTTAATTTCATATGCTAGCAAAATAATGTTTAGGATCATCCAACACAGATTAGAACCCTACATGGAAAGGGAGATACTAGACATTCAACTGATTTTAAAAAAGGCTGAGGAACAAGAGTTTCAACAGAATAACAGAACAACAATGTGCATTATTGCTGATGCACACTGAATAATTGAGAAAGCCAAAGAATACCAAAAAGAAGTCAATATTTGCTTCATTGATTATGGAAAGGCCTTTGATTATGTCAACCATTTCAAGCTGTGGAATGCCCTTAGGAAAATGAGAATCCCAGAACATTCTATTGTCTGCATGGGAAACCTTTACACAGGTCAGAAAGCCACACTCCAGATAGAATTTGATGAAACGGACTGGCTCTGGATTGACAAATGAGTAAGTCAAATCTGTATACTCGCTCTTTATTGATTCAACCTAAATTATGCATATAAATTGGGAGAGGGATGGGAAACTATATTGGAAGAAGATGAGCATGATTGCAAAATTGGAAGAAACAAATAATATACAAAATAAAGTGTATGATATGAAAAAAAGCAACATCTGTCCAGACAGCACACCCCCAAAGAATGGCTAATTAAGTTGTAAGAGTACACCCCATGTCCAAAATAACTTTGTATCTCAAAAGTAAATCTGACACACAATTTAACTCAACCTGGAAACCATTATTAGACTATAATTCTATATAAGAACTTGTACCAGAGTCTAGGTCTATAAAGATCAGTTAAACCAGAATAGATCTTCAGTAGCTTGGACACAATTTAATCTTACTTTATGAATTATACTGTGCTGACTGTGCTGTTGATAATTTCTGTATTGCTTAGATTTTAAGAACAACCTGAGGTTTTCAAAACAATATGTTCAGTCAATTAATGAAATATTGAAAATTTCCACTAACTTTAATTCTACAATGCTTGTAAATTCCCTATTTATTCATTTCATGATTTATTTTACCTTATTCTTCTTTCTTTTTTCCTTTAGTTGTCTATTCCTTTTCTCTATCTCTCTCTTTTAAAAAAAAATGCTTAATAAAAAACATTTTTTAAAAAAGTCAACACCAACTTTATGGCACACAATCAATCCATCGAACAAACAAAAATTCAAATGTTACTTCAAACAGAGCTTTATATATGCAGGAGTTCCCTAGTTCATTTTATCAGAACAGCTAAGCCCACATACAGTTCTATTAATATTAAATTACACCCTGTTGTTTCCCAGTGTTTATTTTTTTCTTTATAAAGACAACACTATGCAAGAATAATTAATTTATTATATGAATCTTTTTTTAACCTAGTACTCTCCCGAGGTGTTAGGATTAAAGCTTTGTGAAGGCACCAACCATTGGTTATGAGGAGATAGTGAGTGTTGCAGTCTTTATAATGTCAAACATAATAAAAGATTATGGTTTTTATAATGTTACTGTGATTATGTTGAATTATTGTTATTATTTATTATTATAGTTAAATAATTTTTTAATTATTGCAATGTATATTTGTTATAAGCTGCTTAGAATAGCATGGTTGAAGCAGCGTATAAGCTTTCATAATAGAAATAAATAAAATATAAACAAAACTGGATATTAGAATGGAGAAAGTTGCATTATATTCAATAATACATTTTACATAGCGTAGGAAACGTTCATGGCATCAGTACTAATAAAACCACTGAAATCAAATATTTTTCAAGTTGCATTAATTAGTTGTTGAGGGACACTTCAATCTGAAGAGCTATGAAAGATATTAAGATATTTTCCCTATCTATATTAAGAAGCACAAAGATGACTAGAAGTACCATGGGAAAACAGACATTCTGGACAGCATCACCCTGGGAGAATTTTGATTGTCAGTCCCAATTTTCTTTTGGTGCTTTTGATTTGGAATACTCATGACAATTGAATTGTCAAAAACAGATTATATGCTTGGGGTATAACTTTAAACTCCAAAAATGTTTAAAAACAAAAGAACCCAGGAAGGTTTTTTTAAAAAAAAAACAGACCAAAACTCTCAAAAGCCATGTCCTGAAGATTAGGAAATCATATTTGACTATATCTGCAGAGCAGTATTTCTGACATTGACTCTTACAAATTGTTTTGAGCAAAACTTTTGGGCTCAGCATCTATAGAAATGACAGTAATCTAGTTTCTATTTTCCCACGATAAGAGAATCACAGTGTCACAGGAAAGATCCCAAATGGATTGTTGGCAGTGGATCCATGTACAGGTAGTCCTCGACTTACAACCACAACTGGGGCTGGAATTTCCATCACTAAGTGATGTGGTCATAAAGTGAGATGTCATGTCACCACATTGCTTAGCGACTGCAATCTCGGCAGTCCCGGTT